GCAAGCAGTAGGAAAAGGGTGGCAGTGCACTGCAAAAAATCTTATTGCTCTTGAAATACTCAAAAATAGTTTTTTTATTATAATTAAAAAAATATTTTTGTGAAATTTTGAAATTTGAAACCCAGAATACATCAAATCTATAAGATCCTTCTAATATGAAAACTTTTTTTCTAAAGGCTTCTAAACATAAAATATTTTCACCAATTGTTTTGTGTGTAGATTTAAGTTCTGCATAAGAGAGTGAGATAGAACGATGGGGAGAGGGACGGAAACTGCTGAGCCAACGAAGCCTTTAAAGTTGGCAAAAAGCCTGCGGATGGAGCCACACATGTGTATATATGTATATATTTGTGTGGATACGGATGTGGGTGGTAAATGCAGGAGGTTCCAAAGAAAAAGGATGAGGAGGAGATGAAGTTGCCCTGGCATTGTCTGTTGGCAATGAAAATACGACAATAATGACGTCGAGGGAACTTTCCGCCGGAGAGTCATGCGCCGTTCGATAGGCGCCCACTGGATGTGTGGGTTTGTAGACTGCTGCAATGCACCAGATACTGTGGTTAAATATGTAGATTTCGTATTGGTTTCGAATAATTTGGAATAATTTTAGATTTTATAACATTTATACCACGTTTACTGTTCTTTATTTAGTGAAAAAATCAAATAAACTTGTTTAAAAATCTTTTAAAATTGCATTTCGTATTATGCTAGAGTTTTCTCTATATGTCGTCACTTAGATAAAAAAAAACTTTTTATCTTGTTTCAACACTTTTAGCAACCACTGTATACGTTCCCTGATGTGCATATGTTTATTTAAGTTTCAGTGTGCGTGTCGTTTTGGCAAAGATTTCATTAATAGCTTGTGCGGTTGAGAGGGCAGAGGGCCAAGTGGAAAACGCGTAAGCAATGCATACTTGATTTGATATTCAACAAAAGGTGAGTAGTTCCCCGGATTCCTCATCTCCCCTTTTAAACCACTCCTTTCCCCAGGTTGCTTTTTCCCCTCCTCCATTTCTCTAACATTTCTCTTTCTGCCCACACATCGTTATGCGCTTTAATTTGCAAATGGGTTTGCAGATTTGGATGCGGTTACAAATTTTGTGGGGGAGTCTTCCACAGTGGTCACCCGTTGTGATGAAACTACTCAGCGTGTCCGCAACAAAGCTTCCAAAGAACAAAACGTGTCTAACGTGGCGCTGCTTTTAATGTTTCCTCAATTTGGCTATCCAAAAAAAAGGTCGTTAATTGCTCTGTTTCCCCATCCCCTTGAAGGTCTCCTATGGTCCCTACACCTAAATATATTAACTACACAAACAGAAAACATAAATATTTATTTTCACTTCAAAATAATAAAATAATCTTAGGTAAGTTATTGTGTATATCTTTGATACTTTTTAAGGAAATATGAATTAGAAATTGGGTTTCAAAATCTTTTTAAAGGGATTGCCCTTTTGATTTTAGTAAAAAGCAAAATATTTTTTTTCTGTGCAAACTGTAAAGTTAATGTATGCATATGCCAACTAGATCCAAGTCGCACCATTTCATTTCATGCTCCGCTGCCCCCGTCTGCGTTTGTCTTTTGTTTGTTTATCATCGTCAAGCGAAAAGTGAAACCTAACCTTACACAGAGTATACAGAAATCAGACAGAACCTATTCCAATACGCTAACCTCACAAAAAACCAACAAAACAATCGTAATCGATATGGATGTAATGGGGTTCCGCGTTATTAAAAATTTTACAGTGCAGAAATTTATGCTTCAAGTCTAGACGACAATTTTTGGAACGTGCTTAATTATCGCAAAGCTGAGGGGGGTTATGAAAACGGACGGGTAGTGGCGAATAACAAACGAGAAAAACAAAAACAGAATTTAAATGAAATTTTTGCTACGCCTCATGACTATAATTCAGTCATATTTACTACAGAACGCCTGGGCCGATAGATAAACTATGCACCGATATGGATATCTCTACCTCTTTCTCGCTCTCTTTAAATCTTCCGGCCACTAGCTATCTCGCTTTCGTAGCAGTAGTCACAACAACAAAAGTCGTGCGAAAGTTGTTAATTTTCGTTTTAGTTTTGTTTTTCACACCATATCACCACCACTCGCTTAAAAGGGGGATTGGCATATTATTTGATCTAAAAACAAATAACAGGCAGTAGTTTTGGTCACGACTGTGGGAATACCTTAAGATCTTTGAGTGAATGTAAAGCGAAAGTTCGTAATTTACCGTAATAAATATTAATAAGTATTATGTTATACCCATCGTATAGTGGTCAGCATATAGACTTAGGATTGAGCCCCTTCGCGTTGAACTTTAAATAGATCAAATACAGATATTAAAAAACCTCTAAAATATCTATATTTCTTTTCTATTAGATTATTATATATACATATAGATAATATACCACCATAAATTTATTATAATTTACGCCGTTCTGTCTAAATCTACCGAATAGTCACACCCTTTAGACTCCCTGTAGCGTTCGGTATGTAAATTCAAGATGCTGACTTTGTTGTTACTTTGACTTTATGGTTTTTAGTTGCAAATTGTTGCAGTTTTTCTATTCTCGGCGTGCCTTTCGCAATTTATTTTCAGTTGTGCGCGCTATAGCTCGAATGTTCGAGAAAGTATTACGCCATTATTTGGAGATGGGGTGAAAATTACAAACAATAGGGGGAGAACGCTACGCCCACACGATACTTTTGGGCCTACGGATAATATATAATAATGTGCAGACAGCGAGAGAGAGAAGCGAACAGGAAGAGCTTTCTGCAAAAAAGTCGGGAAACTGAAAAGGCACAAAAACAAACCGACTTCCGCCTCATCCACCCACCGAAAATGAATACATAAAATGTGTCTTAACCTTGACATTGAACGCCAAACACAAAATAAAGAAAAACACAAATATGCCGGCAGACAAAACAAGTTAAAAGAGTGTAAGCGAAAGAGGGAGAGCTGACACATTCATTCATTAAACAGAGATGGAAAATTTAAAGGGAAAGGTGAGAACTTTTTTTGTGTTTTTTTTAGCGCACCTTTTAAATCAGCAAAGTTTGTTTATCGTGGCAGCTACAACAATAACAACAACCAGTACAAGCAAAAATTAAATAAAATAAAAATGGGCCGCGTGTGGCGCTAAAAATAAACACCAGAAAATACAAACAAAACAAGAAATTAAGAATTGAAATAAAAAGTAAAAAACCAAAAAGCGATAAACAATTTTGTTGACGTTTATTTTTGAATTAAACGCAAATCATCACAAACAAAATTGCTGATAAGCAAGAATGAAAAAGAATGCAAGATGAGAGATATTGCAGGCGTAGAGTGAAAAAAGAGATAGAAATGGAGCTTAAAAACGATCAAAGAAAAAAAAACAAACGAAGCTAATACACAATTTGAATACCCTCTTTTAGGGTATAAAAACACACATAAAATAAAGCAAATATCGTGACCTTGAAAAGTTTGCAAAAACAGAGAGAAAGATAGAGAGCGAAAACCAGAAGAATGAATGGAATTATGCCATAGAAGGCAAAACAAAGTTCTCAGCTTAGACAGAGAGGGCAATCCAGCAAAAGAAAAAGAAAGATAGAGAGTGAGAGTGAGGGGTTGAGATTCTAAAAACTTGAAGATCGCGTTTAAAACAACAACACAAAAAAAAACAAAAAGCGATCTAATTCTTTTTCGTGTTTTTATCTTTCTGTTTCTTTTGGCTCTTTCGTTGTTGTTTTATCGCGATGAAATAAATAATATTTTTTTTAGCTTTTGGAAACGGAAATATTAAAATTGGGCGTTAATAAATAAAGAGCAAGAGCCCATGTGGAAAACATGCCATACGCTACATGTCTGTTGCTAAAAGGCAGCATATAAATTTCAATAATTTATCATTTTGATGGTGAATAAAAGAAAAACTCAGAATGAAAGAAGCAGGAATTACAAAAGAAAAGGGAGAAGCCTTGACCCAAAGCAACAAGCAAAAAAATAAATAAAAGAGAACTTTAATAAAATTAAAATGCCAGTACGATCGAAAGAAAAAGTGGAAAACGCTTATACTGAAATAGGGGAGACTGCATGTATTTATTTTAACAACTGAAACAATAAAAATCGTCAACTTCCTTAAGAAGAACATTTTCGGAAATTTCTTAAAAACAAAAAGCGCATTTTACTAAATATTTCTGCAAATATTGTCTGTATTTTGCAGCTGTTCCGCCATCAAGGTTATATAAGCTATGGAACCGGCAAACGAACGAAAAATGGGCAAACAAACGCGTCAATTGTTGATAACACTGTACAACACGATAAAGGAACTATGAATATCGAATCACTCTGATATCAAATTGGAATTTTTTATTGATAATATTCTGCCCCACACGAATTTCTAGCGAAGAAATACGTCATTTCTTATTTTTGAGTAAAATCATTGCCAACTACACATAAATTTAAAAAAATTAATTATTGTTATAAAACAGACTTATAAAAAATTCTTTTATTGATTCCAAAAGTTTTATAACGAAATACTTTATTTGCAGCTGCAAAGTAATTCGAAGAACATTTTGCCTGGCTTGGCTTGGCTGGTCTTGTCGTTTAGTGTAATTGATAAAAGTTTTGTGAATAAATATTGAAATTGCCCATGTGCCCCAACCACATGTTGGGGAATTTCGCTACACACATTTCACCCTTCCTTGTTTCGCCCCTTGGCCCCTTTTTCGGGTTTCAACAAAAAAAAAGTATTTTAAATGATAATATTTCAAATAGTTTTTTGTTTATCCAAATTTACTTATTTAATTGTCCTTTCCTTAGAGGTTAAATATATGTCCATAATTTTCAATGACAAAGAAAACATATGATATCAGTATAGACAAATGTTTGAATAAAATTATAGAACCAAAACTTTACTTGTCTTAGAAAAATTAAACATGGAATTAGGATACTTTTTGTTTAAACTATTTTTTCTAACCATTATTTTATAGCATTTTAAAAATATAATTTTAGACTTACCGCACTCGCTCGGAATAGAGTTCGACCTCCTTGTTCTTCTGCTGCTGCACAAGTTGCTGCTGTTCATAGCTGGCCAATGGCTTAAAGTTGCTGATGTTGGCCAAAGCCGTCAAGTTCTGTTGCTGCTGCTGTTGCTTTTGGGAAGCAATCAGAAGGTTCTTCGACAGACCCAATCCATTCTGAAGATTGCTGCCGAAAGCGGGACCCAAAGGTTGCATGAGCAGCGACTGTTGCTGCTGCTGTTGCAGCAATTGCTGCACAGGGGATACAGATATTTCTGCACTGGATTGCGAGGCCGATGGCGATGTGGAACCACTACCAGCTCCACTGGAGGACAAACTGCCGGCTCTTGCCCTTAAATCCAGGCCCAGGACATTGTTCGGATTGAGGATATTGCTCAAAGTGGCCACCACACTGGGTTGCAGAAGCTCCGAAGGGCCATTGTTGGTATTAACAGTATTGGTATTACCATTGTTGTGAGGCAAACCCGACCCTATAACACCCACATTTGGATTGGGCGTTAGTCCGCCATAACTATTACCATTGTTGTTGCTGAGTGGGGTCTTAGAATTTCCGCCTCCGTTGTTATTATTACGGTTCCTCTTTTTCTTAGCCTTCTTCTTATCATCGTCCTCGCTCAAATTTCCATTCAGATTACCCCGATTACCAGTTCCATTGAGGTATATTACACCCTGATTGGTTGGTGCCACCCAATCGAGATCCTTTCGCAGTTGTCCTCTGCCACATTTGCAGCTGCAGGCCTTGGGGACCAGCTCGTAACCCTTTTTGGTCCACAAATGCTGAAGGCGTTGCCTCTCCGACCAGGATCGAGCTCTACTATTAGCCTTGAGGGTCTGCAAAACGCCCGCCTCCCACAATTCGAAGCACTCGCGATGCATATATTGACCTGCACTGCAGTTCTCATTGTTGCAGAGTACTCGTATGCAGTCCGCCAAGGATAACTCATTCAAGGGTATCAAAGCATCCAATTTTCGACAATCTCCACTGGGTAGGCAGCAGCGAACCACGCCCCCTCCAACGCCCCCAGATCCCTGCATGGGCGCCATTAAAACGCCTGCAGAGTTCGTGTTCTCCGCGTAGAACTGCAGGAATTGCTGCTGCTGCGTTTGGGTTTGCTGCTGCAACTGTTGCTGATGTTGTTGCTGCTGCTGCTGGGTACTGTTACCGCTGCTGCTAATATTGCTGTTGCGACGCGGAGCCATAAATTTGTATTTTATTTCTAGATATGCACTCTTTGCAGCTAAAAATTTGGTTGGGCTTTCCTCGAAAATCCTCAATATCTATTTCGGATAAGCATTTTTCCCAGTACTTGAAAATTTGAAAATATTGCTTGTTGATTTTTTTGGAAATTATGCTGTGATTTGTGGTCTATAAATGCCTCGAATGTATATACTATATTGAATGTTTCCAGTGTTTTATTTTTGGGGAATTATTTTTGAACCGATTTCAGAATTTTTGAACCGATTTCGTGGGTATTTCCAGTGAGTTCGCAATTTTATTATTGTTTGGTTTGTTATTAAAAGTTTTATAATTTGGGTTGGTTTTTTTTGTCGATTTCTGCGGACTTTAATTTTACTTTATAATTTATAGGTGACTCGACTGATGTTTTTATTTTTGCGAATTTGCAGACAAAAGTCAAAGATTTTGTGGTTTGCGAGAAATGGTTTTAATTTTTAAACGTCTATTTCTGTTAAATTTCCGAGTAACTTTCCTGTTTTGTATATTTATTTGTGTGAATTTATTTTTAGTTTGTATAATAAATGCATATTTTGTTGTGTGATTTTGTCATTAGAATTTTTCGGCTACTTTTAAGTTTTTTTTCGATTGCTTGATTTTCCGACAGGATTTTTATTTTTACCTTGGTAATTGCTTGTATTTGTTATTGCTTTTTATTATGCGTGTTTTTGTTAAAAAATGGTACACCTCTTTCTGTGTGTATCAAAAATATTTCGAAAAAGTTCCCGTTACGCAGTCTGTTTCTTTATTTTTTTGTTGTACCTGAGCTGAGTTTATTGTTGTTGTAGAACGTTAAGTATCAAAAATTGTTTCTATTGTTTATCTTCGCTCTGTCTCTCTCTCCTCTCTTTCACACACGCGGCGCCATGTTCGGCAATTTTTCACATTTTGCTTCGCTTTGCGTTTTGTTTTTGTCGCCTCTCCTTTGCCGCTTTTTGTTTTCGCCGGCAAAACGAAAGGAAAAAGAAGTAAAAATCGCGAGACTTGGATGTAAAATTTCCGATTGAAGTTTATACGCAGGATAAATAAATTTCGGCAGTTTCCCTTTTCTTACATATCAGTTTTTCTGTTTTTTTTGCACTGTTTCTTACGCACTGTTAACACAAGAAAATGCACTCTTTAAGCGAAGAGAGAAGACAAAACCAACCAGCTCGACGGCGAAATTCGAACTGTTTTGGGTCTGTGCTTGCGAACACCGTTCGAACATCGCGCGTCGACGGCGACTGCGGCAGAGGTGCGCCGACTGCGCTGCCGGCGTCGCTGCTTGGCATTGGCAGCGAAGTTGGAGTTTTCTTTCCTTCGCTTTTCCACTTCGTTTTTGCTTTTTTTGGGGGTTGGTGGGTGGTGGTTGGCTGGTTTTCACTTTCCACCACCGCCGCCAACCGCTGGCTTTTCATTCGGCGGAAAATTCAACAGATTTTGGCGCTAAAAAGGAAAATAGTGGGGGAAAATGGAGAAAAAGGGGATGAAAAGTTAAGGTTGGAGTTATTTTATAGGCCCAAAAAATAAGTGACGCCACTAAGTGCTATTTTTATGAAGATTCTTATGTAGATATGTTTCCTTTGGATTTCCCGTACATTTTTAAGAGAATTATTTAAAAAAATGTAAATATAAAATTAATAAAAATGTAAAAAAATTGTATTTTAGCCATTCCCATTAAAGTTAAAAAACCTATCACACACAGTTTAGTTGATGTATTTAAAATGACTAAGGATCCAATTACGTTAAAGAAATTATTAAGCATTTCTTGTAGTTATTTCACATCGCTTTTTAATAAGCTTGAAATATTTTTAATACATGTACATTATGTTTACCTTCATCCCATTTTTGTTAGGTATTTTTAAAATGTCGGATACTATTTTTAAGATACCCATTTCATTGCATTTGCGGGAACCCTAAATAATTTGCAAAAATTCACTTTCGTTGCGGTTCGAAGCTGGTTTGAAGCTGGCTTGAAGCGTGCTCGAAGTCCATCATTTCCCCTCCAACATGTTCGACTGAACTTCCACTTGGAACGTGGAACAAGTTTGCTCTGTCCTCCATGCATGAATGTTTGCATTGGTGTTTGTGCAAAAAACCGGCAAAATAAACAAAATAAAAACAGGGTTGCCGAGTCCCGAGAATTTGCAGCGCACTTTTGCTTTCCTTGGCTAATCTCTTAATTCCAGTGGAAATGGAATACCCGTTTGCTATCTCTCTTTGGCGGAACTATCCCTCTCGCTCGCACTTTTCGATTGCGATTTTATATTTGTATATAATCCCCTATGTGTTGGCACACACATATTCACAAAGTTACAAACACAATGCAATGCGAATGCCGGTTATAAAAGAGGCATTAAAAAATACACAAATAACAGCAGAGACAAAATAAGAAAGAGAATGCAGGTAATGGGGAAAATTGGATTTGATGTACCCTGTAATTTCGGAAATCGTATTTCATTTTTTTAAACCATTTTGGAAAGTTTTTGTGGTCTTAGATTTGATTTATTGTAATATTTGATTTCTATGGAAAAACTTGGGCTGTTGAAACACTTTTTATTAAGGTCTATTAGAAATTTGATTGAAATTTTTCTGTGTATTTAAAATTTTCTTGTTACTCACTTAGTAGGGTATTGATTGCACTGCCAAAACCGAAATATTCTTTTCTGCGTAGAGCCTTTTTTATTGTATCCTCGCCCGCTTTTATGTATTGTTCCCTCCTTCTCTTCCCCTCTTGATCCTTCCCTCTCTTTCCCTCATTTTCCTGACTCCCTTTTTTATATAAAAATTCCCGCTGCGCGTGTTGCAAAAAAAAATACGCGAAAACGAATAAGAGGAAGCGGTAAAAACAGCAAAACAAGGGCACGTGTGGAATAAAAACTGGAAAAGGGGGAGGATTTCTTATAGGACTCGCAAGATCCTGGTTTCTATTCTTTCGGGTCTGTGGTGCAAAGTCAAGGTCCAATTCCAATTATTTTTCGAGTCAAACTGCGCAGTTTCCATTTTTTTTTCTGGTGACCTGCCAGGAAGAAAAGAACAGGAGAAAAGGGAAGAGAGGAGGGTTCTGATATAATAATTAAGTCAGTCAGGTTGGCAGATCGGCAGCCATTGCGTAATAACATCGTATATGGGTTGTTTGTTGTTCTAGCTAAAAGGATCGAAGGAACCCGAGAAGAGGAAGAAAAACACAGAAAGAGAACAAAAGAGAGCTGAACTAGTTTGTTGTTGTTGTCATCGCAGCTTTATAATTCTCAAGGATTTCGCTTTTGTGTTCCATTCGGCTCTGACCTAATTTTAATGACCAATGCATAACATAACGAAAAAATAAAATAATAATAAGAAAAGGAAGAAGCAGAGGCGCAAGACCTGATGGCATGTGTTCAAAAGAGGAAGAAAGGGTAGTGAAGAGCGGAGAATGAGAGGAGGAGAGAGTCTGGAAGCCTCGGGGCAGAGCTGAGCTCATAATTCTTCGGCGACACGCATCAAGTTAAATTTGCATAATTAATGGCAACGATGGGATCCCTCAGGGCCGAACAGGGTTGCCAGGTGCTAATAAGATGGGGAATTCCTCCCAATAATAGTTTAATAATATTTTAAAAAATAGTTATGTAATAAAGACGAAGATCCTAATAACTGTATAAAATAGGCAAGTGTGATTCGACATAAAAGAAACAATTTTTATTTGTAATTAACATGGAATTTCATGGAACTTTTTGGGGAACTCAGTTTTTTTACTGGATTCCTAAAGCTACTTATGTACCTCTGATTTTATCCTGTCTAAAATAAAACATTTTCAGTTATTAGGGCAATCTCTTACTTTTAAGAAATATTTTGTAACAACTTCTCACTTTATTAGATCACCTTCTAAGCATTGAAGTGATGACTTTGAGTGTTTTTAGCCAACTTTCTGCGTGTTTCTTGGCTTCCTGTTTGAGTTTTAAACAGGGTGTGAAAGCGTGTTCCTTCAAGAAACTTTGCGGTGGCATAAGAGTATCTTATAGATACTCTTATCGGATGGGTAGACGATCCCCTACCTCCGCCCACGATTTGGCTATCCATTTATTTCGGCCTCTCCTTGTGTTTTTCGTTTTCCTCGGCCTTTTAAGTCCCGGGGGTGTTTCAGACACCCACCCGTACTCCTACTCCTCCATCTATAAAACCCTCTTTTTCACTCCGCACCGCCGACAGAGCAGCATTATTTGTAATTACTCATACTCCCGCATTTATCCAATCGGAAGCAACTTTGAAACCCAAAATAGGGTTTGAAATTCAACTGCCATGGCAACCCAACTCAACCTCGAACCAGGAAAAAGTCGTATATAACGGTAAACATAATACATAACAAATATATACCCATAAAAAGAGACAAAACGGGAGAGAGAGTTGTGTTTTTCGTCGATGGAGGGTGTCGTAATTTCATTTCGTTGCCAAAAATAACTCAAACTCCATTTTGTCGAACACTTGTCGAAGGATGAATATAATGGTTGAAAAGAAGAAGAAGGGTCCAGGACTCTGGTTGAATCCCTTTTTCGCCCCTTGTGGCTCCCAATGTGGGTCTGATTCACGCTGCTCTGCTTACATAAGCGAAATGAAGTCAGCATTCGCCCTATAGACATACATATTCCCATTTAACACACGGGATATGGTACACTAGATTCGAATTGGAATGATTTTGTCAACCAAGAGAACTACAGATTTAAATCATTTACTCTTAAAACATAAATAGGAATGATTACATCAGCGATGAAAAGTAACATAGAACGAATCCTTCGATTTGTAATTGGAATACTTCAGGTCTTCTTTTAAAGGATATCATAATGGGTGTGGTTTTAATAATCCTCTTTAATTTGTTAGGTATTACATATGTATATTATGTAAAGAAAATAAGAAATTAAGATTCCAAAAAAGTAATCAAAATATCAATACCAATATATAAAGCGTTATTCTTAAAAAAAGTATTATCACTATAGATTTTAAAAATAAAATAATAAGCCATTAAAACTTTAGTTTATTAGAAAATTGTATTTGCCACATTAAATTAAACTGTTTTCACTACACAAAAGAAAATAAGTTTTGTTTTTTTGATCTCTTTTTGGTTTGAAGTTCCCTGGGTTTTCCAACTTTTCTTCAGGGGAGTTAGGGGTTTACTATGTTTCCTCCCACTTTGTCCTGTATCCTCCTTTTGTGCGGACCTTTCTCTGTGGCGCCAAGTAAAAGTGAGCGAGACGGCAATTCCATGCTGAATTTTCATTTGTCCTTTGTGGAAGCAACCACAAGGATAAAGAATAATGGTAGGGGTGTTGAGAAGAGGAGAGAAAATAATAGGAGTAAAGAGGCGGATGACGAGGCGCACGCACTTTTTAGCTCAGCATTTTCAGGGGTATTTTTTATGCTGGTACTCATACATACAGAATAATACTTAGGTACATAAATAAGTAATAAACATACAGGGTATTCCTTATCGAGTTTCCCATTCATTTTAGCTATATATCCCAAGAAAGTGTGAGAAACTCCGCCCACTAAACAAATATTTTTCAGGTATAAGGGTACAGGTGAGGTAAATGAAAAATGAAGGCAGAAAAACAAATGCTGGAAAGTAAAATGAAGAAAATTTTAACAAATGGCGATAAAATAAGTGTTTGATTCATGCGTTTTCCATATGTTTGATCAATAGCAGTAAAAACAAGTAAAATAATTTATTAATTGTTAAAATTGTTAGAAAAATCATAATTATGAATGTGATACGCTTATGAATGTTTTTTAACAACTTTTTTTATAAGCTTTTTTACCAAGTTATTTTGGGTATTCAAATTTTAAATCTATGTACATATATTTTGACAATGTACATAGGTAAATTTTAAGTAAAAACAAGAAAGGAAAGCTAACTTCGGGCGGAGCCGAAGTTGATATACCCTTGCAGAATACTCTGTAAATTATATTCTCCAAAATTATTCATATGATGCATTCTTAATACTCATAAAAAATCCGAACTTCCTAACTTTAACAACAACAAAGTTATGGCATTTCCAATCGTTCAGTTATATGGCAGCTATAGGATATAGTCGGCCGATCCTTATGAAATTTGATAGGTCGGATTGATTGGCCAAAAATAAAATCCATAGAAAATCCCAACTTCCTAACTTTACAAACACCAAAGTTATGGCATTTCCGATCAA